ATAGGATTTGTTTGGCTTCACGTATACGAGAGAATTAGTGTATATTCACAGCTGCCGACAGATGTTTTAAACGTCTACAAAATGTATTACTTGCATCCGCTCAAATACTAAAAGATTTCTTACCCAAATTTTGTATATGAATTTATAGAGATCTGCCAACTAAAGCTGTCAAAACAAACCTACAAAGCTTGTATATTTCTTTTAGTCCTACTCGTTGGGATAAACGAGCGTGTGTGTGTACTTACATACTGTACCTATGTTAATAGAACTGTGTGAATTTGTCATGTGTACTTAGCGACAAAAGTTTAAGTTGCTCCAGACTTGTCGCACACTTGTCGCATATCACTTAAAGTTCTCATATTTGTTAACAAACGGGTCTATAAAATGAATGCATAAGTACGGACATATATCTTGAACACTCTGTAGGGAAAATAAGCCAATGTAAGTAGATACCGTGTAATAACTTCGAAAATAATCTTCGAAATTGAGATATTTTTGCTTTCATAAAAATTCAAGAGAAAGTCTGCAAATGTACTAAATTCTTTGAATCCATCCATTGAAACTTTAAATTTGATTCTATGGGTTTCCAACAGGGCTTATTATATGGTGTATATGTCTCCAAATCGTTAAACTTATTTCTGACTTGCCGACAATCGTCATTTGTTTTACGCAGCGATTGAGAGGTGACTGCACACTGTCGTCGGCAAAGTTTTACAATTTCAATTTCGCACAAGTATCTGCCTTACATGTGCTATGTGCATGTGAAAATGAAGAAGCCAAACATATTAGCAAATGTGCACATATAACAACAAGTCTCATAAGAGGCAAAACAAAGTGTAAAGTAGGTAACAGAGCTAAGCAGTTGTGGCAGTTAGAATTTATTCTGGAATTTCAAATTGTTTTTGGAAAAGTTTTGGAAGTTGCGGCTTGTGAAAAGTTCGTTTGTATTTGTGTTTAATTGGAATAATATGCTTGTATTCCTTAAATGTGGTATATGGCGTATACGCAACTTTTTGCTTACATGAAAATTTAAAGAAAATATTGTAATAAATCACAACAGAAATGCTAAAATTGAGAGAAATCGAGAACATTTCGAAACAACACTTTAGATGGTGACTGAGTTAGGGTTAATATTAAAAGCAAATAGAGTATAAAATCAACGGCAAGTTCCACATAAGCTTTTATACTCTCGCAACATGTTGGAACAGAAAGTACAATAATACTTAAAACTGATCGACATAGGTATGGAGTTATGTATATGTTATTTATCAGGATGACGATGCGAGTTGAATTAAAAGTGAGTGTCTGCCAAATCATCCGTACCGGCCAAGCGACTTGAGTAAAAATTGATATATCTCGATGAAACTTTGTACATGTGGTTATTGGAAAGCCTACTTCTCAAACAACATAATTATAGATGTACATTTTATAGCATATACTTATATATTAAGAATCAATTAATATATCGGGATAAAAATAGTGCTTTTAAAATTTGCCATAAATTAATTATCTATTTTCAAGCCTCTAGGTGCTGAATTGGTGAACCTTGTTGCATATGTCTGACTTTATGCTTAAAATATCAGAGATATGTTCTTAAAATACTCGTATCGAAAATGGGTAAAATCGAGCTAAAACGGCTACTACTTCCGTGGACCAATATTAACATTTGATATTTTGAACTTTCAAATGTCTTGACGCGGTGTGTTCAAAAATAAGTGATGTTTTCGTAAAAAAATTATGCATTGAATTACATTTAAATCCTCATACCAATTCTTCTTTCATTCGTCGACACACTAGCCTTTAGTTCTATCAGCGATTTTCATCTATTTAGTAATACGAAAGCTTTTTAGCTTTTCTTCATTTTTAGAAATACGAGAAAGTCAATCGAAGCCGCGAATGATGACAATGGAAACTGGTTATAATAATGTTTTGCGCAAAAAATCCACATACCAATTCTTCAATTAATTTCGTTCAACGAAAGAAAATAGCCGAACTCATAAAATTACTACGTTTAAGATTCTTCTTCTTCCATACTTACCCGTAACGTTTAAGATTAGCCGCTTTAGATAAAGCATGCAATGAATACAGCTGACATTTTTATCATACGTTGATCAGGAGCATGTATATCAACATAGAAGAGCTAAGGACAGGGGTAAACGAATATTTGAAACTCTGCAACTTGCATGAATAAAAGCCCGAGAAATTCTTTCAAGGATTATAGGAGTTGGGAGTAGTATTGATCAGGCTTAATCTATCGCCAGAGCCTGCGCCATGAAAAGTTGCTAAAGGGGGTTATAATCTCAGCAGATTTAAGCATGTGAACAACCTCCCCACGGACAAACTCAGGTTACTTTTCGCATTCCACACTGGCCACTCTAATACTTGTAAAGCATGCGAGTAGTTTTTTCTGCTGAAGGTAGCCTCAAACTTCTGCTTCAGATAAACGCACTTGGATCCATATTACCTAATTGATTATATCAGTACAAAATTGTCGCATTTTTAGTGATTATAATTTAATAGCCATTGTTGAGACACCGTTATATCTCCATAAAGTTATTCCTTGGTGTACTCTATGGAGAGAGGGAATCATTGGTCCATATTTTTTCAAAAGTGAACCTAGTCATAATTTTACAATCAATGGGGCACGCTACAGAACCATGAGTAATGGCATTACATTGACAAATGCACAATCGAAATTTGGGTATTTAATTTGTTGATATTCGAAAATTTCGATAAATTGACAAAAAATATATATAATAATGCATTTATCTGGATTAGAAGTATTGAAAAATATATTCAAAATTCAGCTTAAAATATAAGTTTAAAATACAAAACCTTAATGTGAGTGCGCACACGCTCTCATTGCCAACATGCGTTAGGTTGTTACGTTGTTACGTTGACTACACGTTCCACTTGCACTGCGTTATTTTAATCCGAGCGATATTCTTTTAGGTAGATGTGACTAACTCAGTGCGCTGACCAAATAACTCGTCTGTTATCTGCAATAAGCAACAATGAACAGGTGAACCATTTCACCTGAATGCGCACAAAAGTGGTGTGCTGTTTAATATTACACGTAAAATGTCGAAATGAAACATCTGCAGCTTTGAACAGCTTTGCATGGCTGCACCAACAGCCGAACTCTCACAGCGCGCATATTACTGGCTTAATCGAAAATTGTGATAATATATGTGAAGCAATGTTCATGCATACATATGCGTACATTACTTATCCACCAAAAGCCTTTGACTCTAAGAGGAAAATGTGTGAACGCAGAGATATGAAATAAGCACGAAAGCGACAACTCGTTAACGGAAGGAAGTAATACAAGGCGCTGTAAATATATTTGCCTGTATGAATATATGCGGAAGACATTGTTCACACGAGAACTATTTTTTGTCGCCCAAACCAAAATAAATCAAAAATAGTTTTGCACACTGCGTGCATGAAGCGTATAAGAATTTGAGAAGGGGTGTATGAAAGAAAATCCGACTCAAGCGTCGCACTCATATCGCTGTTGTGAACGCAATGAGCGACAAAAAGAGAGAATTTGCTGATAATGAGCTACCAAAAAAGTCCCCGCCTGAACACAGTGTAACACTGATTTCATAGAAAAGTTCATTTTCATTCGCCCAAATATTTCATTACTAGCGATTTATTAAAAAATGGGATTTCTAAAATGAGAATTATATAGCGCGGTTTTCAATAAAGAAGCTAAACAATTAGGCCAATAGAGACAGCAAACGACGTCATATTTTCCCCGCACTTTTGAGGTTACTCTTTAGTTTTTTAACTACCGAAATTCAGAGTCAGTGACCTCAAAGTTAAGAGCGCTGCGTAAAATTTATGCGCGTCATATTCGTCCCGTCCGAACAACCATTGAGCGTCTAGTGAAAAAATTTGAATTCGCAGGCACAGTACAAAATGTTTCAGTGTGAGTGAGACAAAGTTTCCGTCTCAAATCTGTCTCTCATACGTCGTTCTCAAGCGCTGGGCATTTCCGTGACGTCGTGGTGGCAAAAATTTTGCTGAGGCTGGGCTGAGCAACAACTTGAGGCCCATTTCTGGTTGAATGGCTTCGTCAATAAGCACACTATGCGTTATGGGCCGGCGGGCTCATTGGGCCATATTTTTTCGGTGATGATCAAGACCAGAATATTATTGTGAGTGTGAGTGAGTACCGCTCAATGATAACCGGATATATTTGGTCGAATTGTATGATATGGACTTGGAAAAATTGTGGTTCGAACAACACTGCGTTCAAACTGGGTTAAACCGTCTGAAGATTTCCAGTAGTCTGAAAAGTAGGCCTTCAGGGCGACTATGGCTTTCTCTTCTGTCTACAATTTATCTCCTTCAAATAACAGCTCCTCGATAGAATTCTTTGACAAAATAGAGCTCTATGGCCACTTTGCCATTTTACAGGTAGCCAATGATGTGTTCAGAATTTGTGAAAAACTAATACCGGTGAATCCATGTTTCACCGACGGTGATGAAATGATGTTGAAACTTTTTCGAGAGGTCCTCAAAAAGTGTCAGAGGTCTCAGAGCAATTGTTCCGAAACAGTAAACGCGAACCCATCGCGAAAACAGCCTTCTCATGCCGAATAAGCCATTTAGCTTACTGCTACACCGTACCAGTTTATTAAGTGATTGGCCAAAACGAAAATTATTGAATCGGAGATCGACGACGTGGCATTGCATGCTTATTATTCTAGAATACATACCAACAACAACTGCTTATATAATATTGATTTTTTATTTACAGAACGGCATCTGCATCTTTCTCATGCAATATTTCACTGACCTTTACAAAATTACTGACATTTTTCATTTTCATAAATTTATTTTGCTCAAAGACTGTTGTGCATACAAAAATTTTGATAGATCTCATAGTTATCAGACTACAGCTGCAGTGCATAAACCTAGTATACATATGCATGTTTATAGAAGGACATAAGCTCATATGCAGAAATTCCGTTCACCACGTACTTGTTTGCTCATTCATTCATCTTCATTATGACAGCCAACAGGGAGTAAGCTGTCTTACAGATCGAGACGAAAGTATCCAGATTAATGCGTACAATACCACCGGCCATGGCTGTATGACTCTTCAATGAGCGCTCACAGAAGATTACCATATTTTTGCGAAATTTTTGTGTCTGCTCCACCCAGTTGCTGCAGAACATCTCAACGTGCAGCTTATCGAAAAGTAATTGAAATGTTGTGCCATAGTAACAGATGGGAAAGATTTCCAACGGCACCGCGATCAAATAGGATACAAAGTACAAGCGATCGAACGGTGCATCTACATAGAATAGTAATGCGGCTAGAGATAGGCATATGTTGACAGCTGTAACGGCGAACTGCAGAAACATCGGTAGCGACATGATATTTTGAATGACATTGAGCATGCTGGGAATAAAAATATTACGAAAGTATAAGACTGGATGTGTCAGCAAGTCAAAATGTTAGTATATGAAAAGAAACAACAAGAAAGCAGAATAATAACTACATAAAATAAACATTTCTCTACTTATGAACAAGAGCACCATTTGCCTTATCGATATAAAAAGAGGCTAAGTTTGGAAGCAGCCAAATTCTTGTTTGTTTGGAACCTCAAGGGGGTTTTGAAATTCCTTCGCACCATAAACGTCTTCCAACATTAATGCTAAAGCTACTAAAATATTCCCCTGTTGTCTCGTGAACTTTTTACGATGCGATGGAACCGCTTTCACTTTACTTCAGGCAAGGTTTCCAAGATGAAACTATTGCAGGTGAATCTCTACTCTCCCTGCTCCCAGGGTTGTATACAATTTCGTAACCAAACCAGCATCAAATTTTTTGGCTCGATGAACCAATCATGTGGCATTTCCAGGTCCTTCATATTATGGGGACATGGCTTGTCTGCAGGTATGTTGTCGTTCTGGCAGGCGTTTCTGGCATTGTTTATAGCAGAAATACCACATTTCCATAATCTTTCTGTTGTATTTAGATGGAGGGAGTTCTGGATGATAAAGGTGTTTCTGAGTCTCTTTTGCCTCTGCTATTTAGGGTCAGGTGCTTTTTGTTGTTCGTAGTTTAATGAAATAGCATTCTAAAGATATCATCTGAACGAGTACATCGTATCATTCATAAATATTTGAATATGAAAAGGCTCTGCGCAAAATGAGTGCCACATAGTGATTCTTCGGATCTTTGTTTATTTGTTGGAAATGTTAAATCGCAAAAAACCCGAATTTTGACGTCGATATGTGACAACTGATAAATCATGGCTCCATCATTACACTCCAAAGATCAATCGACAGTCAATCGAGTGGACTGCCTACGACAAACCCGCTCCAAGGCGTGAAAAACGAAACAGTCAGCTAGCAAGATTATGGCGTCTGTCTTTTATGATGCGAATGGTGTATTTTTATTGACTACCATGAAAAGGGAAGGACCATCAACAGCGATTATTACAGAGAATTGCTATACCGTTTGACGGCCAAAAACGCTGAAACTGCTATTTCACCAAACCAATACTCAGCTTTACCGACTTAAGCAGCTGCTGTAAATAAACTGGTTGACATATCGCATATTTGGCACGGTAATTAAGGAGACTTCTACCAACTTATTAAAATACTTTTTGAAATGTCATCTACCCTTGGAATTTAAGTACAATTTCCGGGTGCTTTTTTGTCACAATGTAAGTCACACTCCATCAAAACTTGATAAAATAATGAAACGATTGACATGTATAATCTGTTCAAGTGTTTGATAATATTTTTGGAATACTTGCGATCATTAAGAGATTTCAGCGGCCGTTGACTCAACTTGAAAATTAGAGAGGTTATAAGAATGTGCTTACCATGGATCAATATGAAAATCTCACGGCTACTCCATCGATGCTATACAATTTTAGTGGCGACCTCCTGTGCAATGACTCATGTATATAATTTTATACGTGAACTGTCTGTTAACTAAATCATGATGTAGACTACGACCAAAGAGGCCTCCATTAATTTTATAATTTCTTACAACAACCGATAACAATTTCAGTTAAGATATTGAAAAAATACTCAGAATCCGATGTACATGTAATATAAATTACGTAATACTTTGACCAGAACTTTCACGATATAACTAGAAAACATACGTTCACAGTTTTTAGCTGAAAACTTCTTCCATTCAGGTTATGGCAAGGACTGTTTCACAGCCATTTCCCATTTTCTCTTCAGTTCTACTCACTTATAGAGCTGCTTTTGGTCTTTGATGCAACACAGCAGCTCCTCCTCATTGGCAGCGAGACTCTCCGTCGCGTAGCCGATTTGTGAAACTCTAATACCCAGCAGTTTGATGTGGGCCGACAGCAGCGCTAAACCCATAGTTGGCAAGAAATCGTTAACGAAATTTTGCAGCAATTGATAGGAGACGCCAACAAATTGATAAGAATGCGCTACATAGAACTTTAAATCCGATGCACGCCAGTCGAACGGGAACCAGGCCGGATAGAACAATTTATGCTCATTACTAGAGAAAACCATCAGCTCCGCCGTCACGCCCACAGCACTGTAAATACTAAGGAAGCCGAAGGTAATGCGACGAATTTCTTTACGTAACTGCACGAAATAACGGCGCTCACACGGACTCTGTGCACGTGCATCCAATGTAGCAATGATGGACTCCAACTCACGTATGCGCGACATTCTCGTGACATAGATGACAAATTTCGCGCTGCAAATCGAACAGACAACACATGCGGCGAGGTTCTGTATATTGGTCGAGCCATCAGCACTACTGAAGAGTGCCAAGGCGAGATGCAGTGGATAGCAGAAGGTAACGAGCACATGCAACAGCACCGAATAGCCGCGATAATAGACGCTGGAGTTGGACGCGTTAATACCGAGCACTTTGAAGCACGCCCAATGAAGTTTGAGAAATGAGCGGGTATCAACTGCGTCTAACGCCGGTTGCGGCACCGATAATGCTGATGGCGACATTTCGCGATTTTAGTTAAAAGGTGTTTACGCTTAGCGCTAAAAATTCGCCCTTTTATATGTTCTGTGGTGCGAGGATGCACACATGGTATCGACTATTAGACGTGTGATTGTGAACAACCAGTGAATAATTATTTAAATTTAGTAATTATTTTAATAGGTCCACTTGATTAAAAATGTGCTAAATAAATTATTTTGTATTCAAAGTGGTTAGCTAAAATGCTGTTAAGTGTACACATATTTCAACGCTATCACGTCAAATTATACAGAAATATTGACACTTGCAATGAAAGTAACAACAACAGCTAACGCTTGTAACGCAACAACGTCACGCCAACAGTGGGTCGAGCTCAAATCTTTAAGGAATAAACTGTATTTAAAATATGGCGGTTAGGACCGTTGAAAAGTTTCGCCAGGTCCTAGGAACGGTACAAATTTCAAATAACCCAAGACTATGAATTAATAATATTTTTCATTATGGTTCCTTACCGAAAAGTAGCTAATACAGAAAATATTGAATATGAAACTGATCTGGATGCAAGAGGAAATGTGTACTTCTGAGCCGTAGATTCATATGCATACATTCAATAGTATATTCGTATAGTATATTTGGCCTTCAAAACGATATGTTCCAAAGCGAATCTCTTCGTTTGGAAAGCTCTGAATGGATCTCTGCTTCCGAAAGAACACCCTCGAACTATTTATAAGACCTGATCAAAGAGCGGACCACTCATTTGTTTGGATATTTGAAGACACGAAGGAATTATCATAGATTGAAATGATTTTGGTCGTGTATTTTTAGGATAACTGGGTATGTCCAGTATATGTTTCAAAAAGGTAATTCCAAAAGTTGGAAACGTTAGAAAGTGAGAAACGAATATAAGAAGATGAATATATCTATTATAATTCTTATGCCAATAAAGCTTACTATGAACTTCCAAGCGAAGTGAACCAATTAACGGGGAACGCTGCCGACAAGAACTCATCAAATTATAGCGAAAGATTGCCGAAAAACACCCTGAATGTGCGATTTGACGTGAGGCAATTGTTTTTCATCAGAGTTTTCCAGTATTTACGAGGTTTTACCTCATAAATCTTAAAGCCCAAATCTGACAGCTCTGACTTCCGTTTCATTTGATCAATGCTAAACAGACTCACTGGAATACAGTTCACATCAGTGCGGGGTAATAAAAATGGGCTTAATTCATTCTTGGCCTTCTAGCCAAGCACTTTCGTAATGAAATGAACAAGTTGCCTAAAAGATCTGAAAATTACCATTATATTATGCATCACCCATACTTTTTCCGAAAGTTTAACCATTTCTGACCCTTGTAACATAACTGCCATATACGTGTCACTAATTACTTAAATACTATAGTGAAAAGTAACCTAGACCTTGAACCTTGAATATGCTCCACGTGTCACTGCAATGGGATCGGGTCTCGTAAATATTATATGATAGCAAGATAACTCAGAGAATTTATAATTACTATAATCAATTCTATACGTACCTTTTAATATACCGTAATACCTTTAATTGACTATTCAACCTAGAATGTGCGGAAATTCGCAACAATTTAGTATGTCTTTACCCGATTTCAACCACGCTGCCATAGCGACAGCAAAACTGAAGTGCTACGCCGGAGATCGCTGGTTAATTGTACATACCCAAGGAAGATAAGGTAGAACCACCTCCATTATTGTTGAGGAAGCCTCAACCCGATCTCGAACGAGATTGCCCTACTGATCTCAAACTGAAGGGTTCCTGATGATCACTCCTTTTCTCTGGAGGACTATGGAACTCTCGGAATCAAAGCGTCGTAAAGACTTTTATTCAACAGGGCCCGTAGGAGTGCGTTAACTAACGACTCAGCATTGTATAAAACGGGACTTGCAATACACAAGTCCGAGTTACGAAAGGTAAAGATGACCTCATGGAAAAGCTTCTTCGAAAAAGTTAAAGACTGCGATGAGTCCTCTAGGTAAGGATGAGAGGTTGGCCCTGAACAGTGAAAATACATTTCATATGCACCTTGAAGCTCACTTTCCGAGTAAAATGTCTTATGTTCTCTTGGAGTACTGCAAGATGACTGCACGGCATTTGTCGATCTTCTGGATGAACGACACTTGACTTGGCCGTTCACTTTGTTCAAAAGTCCCCGGAACCGAATGGCATCATATCTAGGTAGTTGCAACAGGCTATTGAGGTGCCATGTAGGTTGTTGGCACCTATACAAACTACATCAGACTGTGTTACACCTATAGGGCCTGTAGATGAGTTAGAGTTTCATTCGTTCCAAACGGCCAAGGACTTTAGACTCGTCAAGGCCTCCTCCTTCTTATTAAAAACTCAGTGGATACTGCTTTGCATGCTATCGTGTCATGACTTGAGGAAGCCATTAGGGTTAATGATTTTGCTTTTGAGACGAACATATTGAGTGAGCTTTTAGCAACGTCCTGTCGGACGGTGTAGATGGTGGTTGAATCAAACCTCACAACCTTATTCTCAGCCTGCAGTGCGACAGGGTGGTTGAAACGGTATTGGGCAACGCGTGCCCGCGAAGAAATGTGAGTAGGAATAACCCAAAGGGTGGAGTTCTCGGCCTGCTTTAAACACTTGAGAATCGTGGCTGCTTATGCATATCTGGTGGTGACAGCCTTTCCCCACGGCGCTCAACAGCACAGCGGGTCGTCCACATACACACAACAGTTACAGAGGGCTCGAGCTGCCCAAGCAGAGATTCCATTCTAAGGGTTCAAATATATGTACTACAACACTCGGCAGGCAGCCACTCCAATCTCCACATTCCCATTCATGCCGACTAGAGAGACATTTCTATCCGAAAGGTACTTCCGCCAAAAAGTAACTTCTAGACAGCCAAGCTGCTCCAGTCATTACACCACTCAATCCCAGCTAAGCTGGTCAAATGTCCCCTTGAAGTCAACAAATATGCCATGAACATACTTGTTGTCATTCTCCCTAATCATATTCTGAACATGGGATCAAGTATTCTCTATACTAGGTCTTTTTCCGAACCCATACGACATATCCGACCACATAGCCCGCGTTAGCTCCTGAAGTCGTTCCACGATAAATCTTTGAATCACTTTTCCAAGTACTGGAGCCAGACTGATGATCGGATGAGAACGAGGATGGCTCCTGATCAGGGGACTTCAGGAGAGGAACAACCCTGGAACTAACTCTTCGAAAATCGTAATCGGTATGTCCAATACCGCTTTTCTAATAGAGAGTCCACATTGGATCCAAGTAATACCAGGTACGCGAGGGTTCTAAGAAATAGAGAAACTGCCTCCCAAAAGACTTTATACATGGAAATCTCCATGGGACGCCTCTGAAAGTTCAAACATAATCTGTTCAGTTCATGAGAACTCAAAGAGATTACACTCTGATAAATAATCGCTTCTGTTCCTCAATAAAAAAGGTCAAAAAAGATCCGGGAGCGGATTTACCTTCGGATAAGTGATATCTCTATGGAAATGTGGACTCTGAAAATAATAGGTGTAAACATACTAGAGTCTTTCAAGTCATGGCTTATTAGAAGAATCCTAAAAATTTCATGGACATATAAGTTACAAACAGTGAAGTTTTGAGAAGAGTAAACCGCAATAGAGAGTTGCTAAAGACTATAAAACAAAAAAAGGAACCTACCTAGGAGATATTCTGAGGGGCCCTAATTTTCTTAAGCTCCTACAATTACGTATCCAACCAAAAACAAAACCGGACAGGAATTCAGAACGTTGGCAACCTCATAAATGTGGTGAGAACTAGAATGATATATGCTGCCATAATTAAAAAGATGTGATTTCTTAATATACGAAAGATATATTTAACATGTAAACATTACATTATTATTAATCTTATTAATATTTTACTATACATATTATGAAATAATATATAATAACAAATATTCGAATACCGAATGGCAAATAAAGAAGAAGAAGAAGGTACGCAATCGCCGTAAAGCACTCTCTTACCTCGAGAAGTAACCATCATTTGATTCAAATTCCATCCCCACCCTCCCTTAACCTCCCACCAAACACCGAAAGCCCTACTTTCTGCCTGATGCATAAGTGTCAGGTCAACGTTACTTACGTCCACAGGTCTTTCCAACGTATATCATTTGCTCAGTTTGTTCAAAATATGGAGGCTATTAGCCACCAGTCATGCACTTAATGCCTCGCCTAGACTGTTTCTTTGGTATTCAAGCGAATGCGGGGATATCTTACTAAACCATATCGAAGACGAGATACCAATTAGTGATAACCATCCTACCGAAATCCGTTTCTATCGTGACACATACTCCCAGTTGTTAAGAATCCACAACTACGCAATCATAGTTGGGTTCACTGACAACTATTGTGTCATTAGCCCTAAGGTTCGTGATGACCTCATAACCCGAACCAAGCGAATGCGGGGATATCTTACTAAACCATATCGAAGACGAGATACCAATTAGTGATAACCATCCTACCGAAATCCGTTTCTATCGTGACACATACTCCCAGTTGTTAAGAATCCACAACTACGCAATCATAGTTGGGTTCACTGACAACTATTGTGTCATTAGCCCTAAGGTTCGTGATGACCTCATAACCCGAACCACACTTTGGGGGGAAGGGCTCCTGAAGCAAGTCAATACCACACCCATCCTTAATCATACAACCCCCAAATCACACATTACGGCTTAAGAACCATGGAAGTTTAAATAGATCATAATCACCCTATCAGAGTCTGGCGAGGGCACGCTTAACAATCCCGCAGTAAACAGTGCACCAAGCTGGCATCATTATATACCCTTAAATGGCTATCCGCAGCTGCGGTAATAGGGTACATTGATGCAACCGACAGCTCTCTGGCCTTCCTGACCGCACCTTTAACAGACATCTGATTTGGACCTAAACTCAGCCACTCTCTGGTCAAAACCCATACACCAGCAGTAGCCGGCGATGAGCCTATCCGGTCGCTCCTGGAAGGAGAATTA